AATTTTTACTTAACATTATTGGCTCAAATAAATAAAAAATTAATTATTTAAATGATATATAAATGTATATATAAATGCTATAAAAAACTATCCTTAAATTATTTTTAAAAAAATAATACATATTTTATATTCAATATGAGATATTTAAAAAAACTAACTTTTATTAATTACTTGTCGAGTCAGAGGCACTTACTAATTTCTTTAAATATTGCTTAAAAACTTAAATTTGATATTTTGATGTATAAAATAACAATTACTTGCTCACTACTCAGTGGATTAATGGCATTTGGCTTTTTGGACAATATTAAGATCTCTCTTCACACACGCCATTAACGTCACTCTGTTTCTCCTCTTCATCAGAAGAAATGCCGACTCTATTCTTCGCTGCTTCGTTCATTCTCTTATTCCTTACTCATTCGGCAATCTCTCGTAGTTCCATTCAGGAGAAACCTCAACGGCTTCGACAAATTCAACGCTTTTCCTTTCCTAATCACTGCAACGACCGATGCGGAAGCGTTCAAATTCCATTTCCTTTTTACTTGAACACTTCCTGTTCTTCACTTCCCTCTGCTTTCCATCTTTCCTGCTTGAACTCTTCCTCCCTTTACCTCCGCATTGGTGTGGAAAGATACCGAGTACTTGATTTCTTCTCCGATGGTGTCCTCGTGGATTTTCCGGGGACGTCCTCTGTTTGTCGGCAATATAATGACTTGAAGGGGTTTGAGTTTGATGGGAACGACTACTTCGGGGTCTCGGATGATAACGTGATCGGGCTGTACGATTGCGAGGATTCTTCTTTGTGTAAAACCAACTGTGAGACCAACGACTTGCCTGGTTGCGACGGTAAGGGCGGCGACTCCGTGGCGTGCTGTTATCCGCTTTCTGATCAGACGGTGTGGCATTTGGGAGATGGGTTTTCGGTTTTCGCCAAGTTTGGATGCAGGGGATTCTCGTCCTGGGTTGTTCCGAGGGGAACCAACACGGGTAAACGTGGAGTTAAATTGGAATGGGCGGTTCCCAGAAACTCATCCAAGGAAATCTGTGCTACCAATGCTGACATCGTTAATTCCACGGCCGTAGAAGCAGGGGTTAGGTGCGTCTGTCAAGAAGGGTTCGTCGGCGATGGATTTTCCGATGGAGTTGGATGCTTGAAATGTAAGTATATACTTCTTTCTTAATTTTCTCAGAATTTCATTGAATACCCATCAAGGAAATGGTCAGGACAAACTCCTCCTTGTAAATAATGTCGTACACGTATGGGCTGTCATCTCATTCCTCTCATAAATTAGTACAGAAATCTGCATCTGTGACTGATCTGTTTCGTCTTGACAGCCTGCATCAAGAATGGACAGGAAGCATACGGTGAAGAATGCAACAGCAGAAAACATGATCATAGGAAGCTTGTAATAGTGGCCGGTATGTAAATTTCAGGAAATTATTATGATTTTTTGCATCAGTGGTTCATTAAGTCATCAAATCTCTCTTACGTGCAGGTGTTCTTGCTCCAATCTTTGTGGTGGCGTCCCTATTTGCACTGTTTTGTCTACTGAAACGACCAATGAAATCAGGTACCTTCCATCCTGACCAAGCTCACTATCATAGTACTATCTCGTTTCGGAAAGCTTGTAGAACTAGATTGTTCAGTTACCAGGAGCTAGAGGAGGCCACCAGAGGATTTGAAGACGGTCAGAAACTCGTACAAGGCCCTAATGGGACTATCCATGCTGGTGTCCTTGGAGATGGTTCACATATAGCCGTGCACAAGGTGCAATGTGAGAACGAAAGAGACCTCATTTCTGTCCTCTTCCGGAGTGAGCTTGTGTCATCTGTCTTGCATCAGAATTTAGCTAGACTTATTGGTTGCTGTATAGACTCAGGATATACCCCAATGGTTGTCTATGAGTATCCTGCAAATGGTACCCTTGAGGAACATCTGCTCAAAACCAAGGGGCAGAAGTTAGGCCTTGATTGGTACAAAAGGCTGTATATTGCTGCCGAATCAGCTTGTGTCCTGGCACACTTGCAATATGAAATTTCTCCACCAATCATCCATGGTGACATAAAATCCTGTTACATCTTTCTTGATGAGGAATTTTCTGTTAAGATTGCCGGATTTGCTCTGCTTAATTACTCTAACTACCACAGCAATTCACACGTTCATATAAGTGATGTGTATGACTTTGGTGTGGTATTGTTAGAGATAATTTCAGGCTCCAAGCAGCTGGACACACCAACCGTGGCACTACAAAAGATAAGAAACGGGAAGCTGGAAGAGGTGGTGGATCCATCTTTACACTACCACGAGCAGCCTGTTTTTCGGAGAGAGCAGATAGAGATTGTTGCAGACATTGCAACCAGATGCTTGCTGTTTGGTGGGGAAGGAAAGATGGGTATGATTGATGTTGCAAGGGAGCTGGTGCATATCATAAAAGAGAGCATTGATGGGAATAGCAAGAGAGGACCTGCTGCACTTGAAGAAACATTTTCAAATTCGAGTCTGCTCCAGATGATTTCCATGTCTCCTGACTCCATATATGTTCCTTGAATTTCGTCTTGTTCTTAAGAACTCATGCCAAAAAATGAGTAGTAGTATACTAGTATGGTATAGTGTGCTTGCTGCGTTTCTCATGTACTCTTTGTTTCTGTGAAATCTAGGGAATATGCATCTTTTTCAAACTGGGATCTTCGGTCTTCCCTTGAAGTGGGTCTCTGCTGGCCCACAATTTGGCCCAAAACAGTTGCAGTTGGCAATGTTTGAAAAGCGGGCTATGAAGCATAGCCCAAAACCCCTAAATGTAATCAAATGAATAAAGAAAATAAAAAAATTAAAAAAAAATAAAAAAAGGGAAGAAAATTCTTGTTCTATTTCCAACTTATAAGGTCCCAGTATCTGCAAGTTGGCATGTTGGCCTGTTGCATGGGTACAAGAAAAGGCACAGTAGAATTAGTACCATTATTGGTCATCAATCAGAATTTTTATGATGATACCTGAGTCTGACAACAAAGTACTTTATTCCAAAACAAATTGGAGAAAATGAAGATATCTTGAGTTTTCAAAACTGACTCCATTTTATTTTTTGTTTTTGTTTTTGTTTTTTTTTTTTGTTGAATAATTTACAATTTTGAAGTAGGGGAAAGGAATTTTTCAAGAAATTAATGGCGCTCGAAATCTCAATTAATTAATTCAAATGTTTTAAGATTTAGAAACGAATCATTTGAATTTGAAGTTTTAATTTCTAATTTTATTTTATTTGGTATACAAAATATGTGTTTAGTCAAACTTTATAATTTTATTTAATTTGCAATTTTGATTAGTAATTAATACATATTATATCTAAGTATGTAATGTGCTTGTTGGTCCATACATACTAGAATATGGCAGGTATTGCGATGTGTAATTATAAAAATGTAAATGAGATTATCATTTGGCCACAGGGTCATTAGCAAAAAATCATGGATAATTAATCTGCTCAAGACATTGTGAAGAGCTAAATCACATGAAAAGGAAATTGACTGAAAAAAAGGAAACATGAACTACCAACAGCAAAATAGGTGGAGGTGAATGGCCAAATCTCACTACACAAGGCTATAAACATTCAGGGAATTGACCAAAGCGCAACTTTAGGATCATTGCCTCTTTTTATTTTCCTTACCCTCCATTCCAGATTTCTGTGTTTTATCTCACAATCAAGGTAAGGAATGTTTCTCTTTGTGTATGTATTGTTAAAATTTGATTTGATTTGATTGTTGATGCATGTTATTGTGCTCATGGTCAAAGATGAGTGGTGAAGCCAATACAAAAGAAAATGAACCTCTGCGTGCCAAAACACCTCCCAAACTGAATGAGAGGATCCTTTCATCTCTGTCAAGGAGATCAGTTGCTGCACATCCTTGGCATGATCTTGAGATTGGTACCTATTAAACTAGAAGATCATCATATTTGATGCATTCGTTATCCTTGTGTATTTCAGCAACAATGTGGAATTAACCATGTTGAGAACTATTTTCTGCAGGACCTGGAGCTCCCCAGATTTTTAACTGTGTATGTGCTCAATTTCTAATGGAAGTGATTGCCTTTTATCTGTTTAATGACCTTTGTTTATTACCAAACCTTGTTTTTGCTCATATTGTACGTGCAGGTTGTTGAGATAACAAAAGGAAGTAAGGTCAAATATGAACTTGACAAGAAGACAGGACTTATTAAGGTATTAACGGAATTTCCCGAGTTTTTTTTTATTTTTTTGGATACATTTGATAATCCTTCCTTCAATTCTTTTCTTATTTGACTCAAAATTCAAACTTGACATATCCAACTTAAAATCTCATACTCTTAACTATTAAGTCACCCTCTTGCGGGTAGGAATTTCCCATGTTGACAGAAGTTCCTAGTCTTAAATAAGCAGAAAATGCTCTTAAGCCTAGTTCAGAAACAAGAAAATTATGTCGATCATGGGCGGCTACTTTTGCTCTCCCAATGTTTCCAGTTTGTCGTGTTCATCCAATTACCTGTCACTAATGTTTCATCAGTTATAGCTCTTTGATGGAATTATGTTTCTTTGTACATGTTAATTAGTTTCCCCTTGACACATGTTACAATATTTTCAGTATTGCTTTCAACTGTTTGTATAAATGTCAGGTTGATCGTATCTTGTATTCATCAGTGGTATATCCTCACAACTATGGTTTCATTCCCCGCACGTTGTGTGAAGACAATGATCCGTTGGACGTTTTGATCCTCATGCAAGTAATGCCTATGTGATCTTTTTAGTTCTGTGCCTTAATTGTTGCATGTTTTTGAGAGGCATGTGATCAACAAATGCTGAGAATGGATATCTTTGTTTCTGCTGCAATATAGGAGCCAGTACTTCCTGGATGTTTTCTGCGAGCCAAGGCCATTGGACTAATGCCCATGATTGACCAGGTTTTCCATCCAAGTAATCCTAAAGCCAACTTTTGACACTCTTGCTACCTTCAGTTTATCTGATAATTGCTTTTATCCAGGGAGAGAAAGATGATAAGATCATTGCAGTTTGTGCTGATGATCCAGAGTACAAGCATTATAATGACATCAAAGAGCTTGCTCCTCATCGCCTTTCTGAGATCCGCCGTTTCTTTGAAGACTGTATCCTTTCTTAATCTCACTTGACATCGTAGATTTATCTCCCAACATTCATTTTGTGAAGAATGTACATGGTCTGTATACAGTATGGACGACACTGCTTTCTTTAACATACCATATAGACAAGAAAAATGAGAACAAGGAGGTTGCAGTGAACGATTTTTTACCTTCAGAGACTGCACATGATGCCATCCAGCACTCAATGTATGCCTTTCTTAAAGCATTAGACTCTGAACCCTAAGGCTCTTAAAAGTGTATCCATTACCAATCCTCTTTGACTACTTAATCTTCTATTGATAAGTTGCCATTATCCCATTATTGTTTCAGTTCTCCACCTCACTGATGATTTTTTGTTACTCCTGCACAGGGACCTTTATGCTGAGTACATTCTGCACGCCCTGAGGCAATGAGCGTGCAGTGAAGGCTGTTTTTATTCAATTTTCTACAATCTTTCTGGAGTCGTATTAATAAATCCGTTCTTAGCATCAGTCAGTTAATATTAATCACAAACCTCATTTACTACTTCCGTGCAATTTGGATTATTATTGGTTATGCAATCCTTGAACAAGGAATGATTGTCCCTATATTGCTCAATCTAGCAGTAATTCATCATTAGTCTGTCAGGTTTGAAGAACCACCAAAATCTTCAAAATCTTTAATGTAGCATGTAAATATTCAAATTCAAAAGAAATAAAAACAATCAAACTCAGGTGGTTGTCCAGATATCTGGTTTGTACATAACCTGCCTTGCATCCAAAAAAATGAGCAACACCAATATTGTAAACCTTGATTATGGGATCCAAGTAACCAGAAAAAGATGTACAATATAACATTTGTCTTTAAATCGTTCACTATGGCTTTAAATTGTTCACTATGGTATAATATAACATCTATAATCTCATCATGCACTTGCTGATACTGACAAGCATCCTCACTGACCATTACGAGTACCGTTTGTTCAGAAGTTCCAATAGAAGTACTGCAGCTGAATCCTTGGCCTTCTTTACACTAGGCATTGGCTCTCCAATACATTCGTCAGTCCAACCCCTATCACTGGTATTCACTCGAACAGCATAAGTAAACCTCTTTGCATGTGCTGGACCACCCTCATGTACACACCTAAGGATGCAAGAGTATCAAATTATAGGTCTTTATGAAGTTTTTTTTTTTTTTGGTAAATGGTCATTATGAAGTTACCATTGTTATATGAGACTATGGAAAAGATAATAAATAGTTATGGTTTCTTACCGGTAATGGGGCATGGGCCAATTTCTACGCAGGCAGATATCATTCAAGGTTTGCCTGGTAAATGTTTGAGTGCCATTCTTCTTCTTCCCATTTTCCTCGCATTTCTCCTTAGACTCAGCTGTTTCCTTCTCTTTCAAAACAGCAAGTGCATTCCTCGCAGCTAGTTTCTGTGCCATTTTCTTTTGGGGATTCTGAGCAACTCCTACCTGTACACCATCAATATAGACCTCCACAGTAGCCAAATTGCCACTTCTAGTCGCTTTGTATTCTAAGCCTTCAGCCTGCTGTTGGCATCGCTCTTGTAGCTCCCGCACAGGATGCATTGGCAGTGTCTCTGGGGTGACCATTGGTTGCAACAGGGGTTGAAAAACCTGGAGAAAAGGGGGGAAAAAGGTTCACATCCTCTCCTTTTCATTGATAAAGCATTAAATAGAGGAAATAACAGGGTAAATGCAGAGGTGGATATTTCCCCTCTTTTTCTGTGTGATTTTGTGGATGTTGGGAGGGGAAGAACAGAGTTTGGAGGGACTCCCTAACCTTCCAGACAACTTTAGTATCCCGTCCACTGTCAAGAAAAATGGCGCCCGCAATGGATTCCACAATATCACCAAGAACTTTTGGAGCTTTGCAATCTCCCAAACCAAAGGAGTTGAACCCTGGCTTTGACAACTCATCTTGTACTTCCTTGACAAAGTCCCGAATCTGAAATAGAAGTGAAAAACTATTTCAGGCCTCTTTAAATCCATCTTACACATTAGAAAAGCAACTTCACAGATCAAGGCAGATATATTGATTGGGGTTATATTCCTTGCATATATAGAGGTATGGAAAATAATTATGTATGTATATCTGCCTAAATAAATAATAAACTGAAGTTAGAACAATAAGATGATAACCTGCTTGTCAAGGGCGCTTGAGCCATGCCGAAGGTGCACATGGAGCTTGTGTTTTACAGCAACACGTGCAAAATTTTCATTGTTTACTGCAGCAGCTCTCAAATCAGTCAATCGACCTGGTGGGAGATTGGTATAAGTGAAAAACAAGTGCCTTGTGATGAGATGATCCAAGACAGCATCGCCAACAAACTCCAAACGCTGGTAGCAGGACACTCCAGAAGATGGGCGTGAAGCATGAGTAATGGCTTCTACCAAGAGGCTTTGGTCTTTAAAGTTAATGTTCAAGGCACCTTCTAGGGAATCAAAAGCAACACTCCTTAGGATGCTTTCTGGAATGCTGGCTGGCCTCGGGGCAGAATCTTTCTCATCAGGATCAGATTCCACCTGAATGCCAATCCATTTCATGAGATGGTTAGCAGCATTCTTCCCGCCTTCAACATAATATATTCCAATCAATGCTTCAACAACATCTGCCAATGTCTTGCTAGAGAGAACTCTATAAGAACTAGAGTCACTTTCAATCTCACCATCTTCCATTCCATCATCTTCATACACATAATCATGGTCTTTTTCGGGATTGACTGGAGCAGGTGGCTCTTCCTGATCAAACAAGGATGAATCTCCGTCTTTTGTGTCCTCATCAAAGACTGGCAACACACCAGGAGCAGCCCATCTACATGGTGCAAAGCGATCTGCTTGGATATATGATTGAAGTCCTTTGTTTAGTGCACACTGATACAACACCATATTACTGACCATTTGCTGCCTCATCCTGGTCAGTTGACCTTCATGTTTCTGGGGATATTTAAGAAATAGAAAACGACTAACTACCCATTTCAAGTAAGCATCGCCAAGAAGCTCTGCCCTTTCATAGCAAAATGTTTCCTGGCATGAAGCAGCAGTCAAGGCTTCCAAGATCTGCAAATATAAGAGGAAAACACCATTCGGTAAAGTGTTTCAGAGTCAGTGGATTAAAATTGATTAGCTTCATAAGTAAATCACACCTTCGAAGCAGGGACAGGATAGTTTATTATATCGTTGAGTTCAATTGCAAGCAACATACTCTCAACCCTCCTCATTATGGAAGGTAACCTCTGTGCACCTCGGACAAGTGATCCAGGAAGTGGATGCACAAAACATAGCTCAGGAGGGAGAAATACATAATAAGTTTTATCAAGAGTCTCTTCAGATTCACCTGCATGTGACATGGTATACAGACTACGAATCAGAAACTGCAGAAATTGTAATGCAAACTAGCGTGGAGGCAAGAACAACCTTGAAAAGAATTACCTTCTGAGTGTTCAAATCGAGGAGACAAGAGATTCTTGCAATAAGAAACACCACGACCTCTAATCAGAGGCTGTTGCTTAAATATCAAGTCAACGCCATACCTGCATTGGTGGACAAATAATTAGTATCTAATTTACTGAGGGGAAGAAAGGAGAGCAAAAGAGGAGGAGAGGAAGTTAAGAAAGGCCAAGTAATTTTAACTTCGTACTTCTGCTTATAGTAATCAGCATATGTGCTGTACTCAAGAGGACCAAGATAGCCCTCTTTCCTTGGAAATGAGGTTTCAGCTGTCATCTCATAACGGATTGAATCTACATAAAACCTCTTCCCTGAGTGAGCAGCTGTTACGATTCTCCCTACAAGATCTTCTGCACTTGCTGGTCCATCAGCCATCACCAATTTTTCTTTGGTCAAATCTCCTTTTTGTATTTCAGTAGCATCTCGATTAGGAACCAATCCCGAGGCTTTTACAACATCAAACTTTGCTACAGCTCCCCTGATACCATAAGTAGGATGTGGTTTATGTCCAAAGGCCATACCATGCCGCAATTTCCCAAACCCATACTCCCTTCTGTCCCCACCAAGTGTTCGCTCATTTGTGCCAAGGTAAACATCCGGTCTAGCTCTCTGAAGTGGATTCCTCCATGCATCTGATTTAGTTATCTGTTCAACCAAATCCCAGTCAATTTCTTTTAAAGGATCTACTGACTTATCGCCAACCACAGGGATAAACAAATATGCTTTTGCAGGATCCCATGGAGTTGTGGAAGGTTCAACATCCACGTCAAGCACAATGCTCATCAACCTAACATGAAAACTTTTTAGGGATGCCAGCTGCACATGAAAAGAATTTGGGGTCACATCATGCAATCACAAATCAGAATCTGATAGACAAACCAACAGATCAATCATTATTCAAGCAATCCAAATAAAAAATTTACCTGAATTTCAGTAACATCTATTGATCCCTTGAAGACAAGAGATGCCTTTGTTATCATGGCCCGAGCGATAAATAGATCCACCGACATCGATAACACCTGTTAAGAATAAATATGGTAAGAAATGACTGCTACATTTAACAAATGCAATTTATACAAAGAAGAGAAAATAAAAAAAAGTACCTCTGCATCCAGCTCTTTGCCAAAAAGTACCGCAAAATCTGAAACATTAGTTAAGAATGGATCTTTTGAAGAACCACCATTTTCGCATTTGATGGAGTACATGTATAAATGAAGCAATTTGGAGTTATCACAAGTTTCTCTTCCACATAAGATCCACTCCCCCTGAGGATAAAAAGGGTAGTAATCAATTTGGATGCAACTGAGGACATGAAATATGTCAAAAATTACATATGAAACACTTCTAAATAAATTATCACAAGTCATTGAATCTGTTAAAAGAGGCAAGGAAACAATATCTTTTGACCAGATAAAAAAAAAAAAGGAAAACGATATCTAGACAATCACAGATATAGTACTATTAGCTTTTCCAAGAATACAGCTGAAGATCAAGATATTCAGTACACCAACCTGGAGTACATTAGCTACACCTTCAGGATAGAACTCTCTATGCCTAGCTGTCCCAGGAAGCGGGTCACCTTCATCATTCCTGTCAGATTTTTCTGCTTCTTCCCCACTTCCCTTATCTGGCAATAGCATGTCCGTAAATGCTCCCATCTCATGGAGCATCTTGCAAGCATCTAGACATGCAGCCTACATATTACACCAGCATTATTAATGTTCTTGAGCAAAAGATAGTGGTAGATGGAGAAAGTAAATTTGTCATAAGATGGTGCATGCCTGTTGTGCAAGACGCATTGAACCACATACAGGACCTTCAAGCTCTTCAAATGGTGCATTGCAAGGGAGTTGAATCTTACATGAATATTCAGTTGGACCTCCAGGCTTCTCATGCTTTCTCATGATAAACTCAGGACGGAGTACTGAATATCTGAAGTAGTACAGGCAAAACAACTGGATAAAGACTCACCTTCAACAAAAACAACTCAGCATTCAATTTTATCTAGCAATAGGTACATTACCTGTCACTGGGAAGCTGAGAGCAGTATAGGTGGATGAGTCCAACAGCAGAATTTAGGCTGACCATTGCACCAGTTGATTCCACTTGGTAAACTGTTCCCGGTACCATGTCCACTGAAATCAACCTAGAAGTATCCTTAAGATGACTAAGGTCAGTTCTCTCAATTGCCTCTTTCCGCAAAGTCTCCTCACTATTCCGAGCATTCCTTAAGAAAGCAGCATGAGATAAATTTCCCCTGGAGAAAAAAAAAAAAAAAAGAGGAGAAATTTTGAGTTCTCTTGGACTAGTATCAGTGTAAAGAAAATATACTGCAGCATAGAAGACTTAAAGTACCTCTCAATCATCAAGATATAATCTGAACCAGGTTTTCTTGCACGTCCCCTTGACTGAATGTACGCCAAAACTGTTTTTGCAAGGTCAAAGCGAATGACAACATTGCATTGTCGTATATCAAGCCCTTCCTCAGCAACACTAGTGGCAACTAACAATGTCACCTAGAAAACAGACAAAAGCATAAATCAAACACCTAGATTACATGATTCAGATGTCTATCAATATGTATATGGACAAGATACTGGACATACACGACCATCTCGGAATTTGGCAATGGTATCCTGCATTTGGCCTGTCCGCATCTCTTGACTATTGTTGTGCCCAATCAAACTTGCACACTTGACAAAACTTAAAGATGGAAGCTCAGCAAAAACCTGTAAATTTCCAAAGCATCAAAATACCATTGTTAGGAAATTGCAAGCAGAAGTCAACTGAGTATTCAACCAATAAAGATGATAGAGGTTTAATTATGAAGTCTGCAACCTTGGGTAGAACTAAAGCAGCCACAACTCGCTCAACAAAGATAATTGCACGAAAATCCTCAGTGTGCTGATATTTGAGAAGGATCTTAATCAATGACTGAACTTTTGGCGTCACTTTTCCATCAGCCACGGCTGCTCCAATTATGCTATCCACATGCTCTCCACCAGAGACAACTGAAACAAGGATATGGATTAGCTTAAAATATACACCAAAATCATTACTTTGGTCTCACTACAAGCAATAATTTTAGAATCCTCTATTCTTTTTCCAGATAAATCAGCACAAAAGAGTTTCTATTGTAAGTCCATTAGATTCTCAAGTCAGGTAGGTCTACAAAACAATAACAATGAGTCAGTTTAAAATTAAACATACAAGTGAATGACAAGACCCACCATGACTGTCAGGGAGCTCTCCTTCCTCAATATCATCAGTATTAGCTCCTTCTTGGGCACTGCCATTCTCTGTCTCTGTAGCTTTTGTATCCTTGTCAGCAACAGCTCCTTCTGATAATTGGCATTGTAAGAGAGACACAACTTTGTTCAAGTATGATTCTTGAAACTTGACATCAAGCTGGTAGTTTGCCCTCTCATCATTTTGCAAAGCTGTCAAAAAAGATTGTGCAACCTGCAAAAGGAAGGAAAAAAGGAGAAGACTGTAATTGTATCCGCATTGATAAAGAAGCTAGTAAAGGCCTAAAATCACTTGCAGCATATGGTACCTTGTATGCACACCACTGACCAAGTTCCCCAAGCGCATAATTAATAGCCCTCAACTTTTGGATCAAATTGGCAGCCCCATCACTTTCTGTCCTTTCAGAGACACCATAAACTTGGCGAAGCTCTTCCTTTGCTCCAGCATCTCTGGCTCCCATGAATTGCCATTTACTTCTTCTACAGCTTGACTTTGCAGCTTCTTCAACTGCCACTTCCATTTGTTTTATCTGCTCATGAAGATACCATAAGCTGGCTGCTTTATCATACTCAACCACCACTTCTGAAGGCATTGGTACATGTTTCTCAAGCTCCTTGCGGTCTTTAATTGTACAGACAATAGAATCTAATTTACTTTCAAGATTACGAATCTTTATTGCACAATCAACTTGACTTGAGACACCTGCATATAACATGTAAAGAACATAAAAAACATAAAAAGAATTAAAATACTGGAGATGCAAACACTATTGTATTGTACAAGTTAAATAAATACCTTTCAAGTTAACAGGGGAAGCAGTCATTCCGAAAACAGATGGTCTCTTCTCCTTTGGTGTTGTGTGATAAAACTCAGACATCACCAAAGAATATGGATGTTTCTTTACAGCATGATGACACTCATCCAGGATAAGGAGATTAATTGCTTCCATCCTAATAATACTATGCCTCAAAATGTTCAACAGAATTTGAGCTGTCATCACCAACACCTGCAAGAAAACATAATTCATAACTAGGATTGAGCTCTAGTCCTCAACTGCATTAACTCGACTACCGTCCCATACTAACCAAAAGTCCACACACAAGGACATCAGATATAAATGGAATTACCAGCATTAAGGAATGAATATCATATATCAGCAGAACAAAGGAAATTCTTTAGAGCAAGTGATCAAAGTTCTCAAACACAGATGAAGCACTAGTTAACATTGAGGAAGCCTGAAAACTTGCCTGTTTTGTTTCAAACTCACGTTGCCACCTCCTTGCATCCCAGAAATCCTGGCCCATCTCACCACAATAATGGCCCACTTGGAAACCAGTTCGCTCTCGAATAACTTCAGCTTGCTGAAATTAGACAATGACAGATGTAAGAACCATTTTAATATGGCAACTATGTGATGCAATCATTTCTTAAACACAACAGAGTCTCCAAACTAGGATACCTGGTATACAAGTGGAACTTTAGGAACCAAAAATACAGCAAGCATTTTCTTGTTTTGCTTCTGCAAATCACTGCAAACGCTCTTCATCAGGAGAACAGCAATTAAGGTCTTCCCTGCCCCAGTTTCAAGAAAAGCAATAGTATTTCTCTTCTTTGCTTGTTCAAGAACATCCAACTGGTATTGCCGAGCTTGCTCCTCCAAGAATTTTTCTTTAGGCTGTTCAGCTTTCTTCTCTGCCTTTCCATTGCATTCCTGATTCCTGTCATTAGCCACCTTCCCTTCTCTGTAACGGTCTGCTTCCCAAGCACCTAACCTGAAAACCATCTCATTGGACCCTGACCGATCCCTCTCCCAATAACCTCTGGGTTCTCTATCCCTACCATCCCTCCTACCACCACCATAGTGTTCTCTTCTCCTATTGTGATCCCTATCCGACCTATCAATCTCATCCCAATCACGCAGTCTTTTTCTACTAGAAGACCTCTCTCTATCCCTATCCCTTGGGTAATACTGCCCTCTACCGGACAGCTGTCTCTCATTGTTGTAAGCATTAGAACGGGCCCTTTTGCTGCACCTCTGCTCACTATCCAAATCCCTATCCCTTGATCCCCTACCACACCATTTCTCATCCCTCAGAGCTCCATTTTCCTTGGTGGAACGATCCAATGAATTATTGTTATCAGAATTCTCATCCCGCAATTTCCTTTCAACATTATGCTTTTCCACACCATTAACTAGGGGGATTGAGCCTTCAACTTGATGCTTGGAATTGGAAGCCCCTGATGCCTCATTTTGAAACCATTCATCTCCAGTTTCACCAGTGGAATCTTTCAATCCATTTTTGACACAGCTATTATCCTCCTTGACAACAGGAGGAAGTCCACCACCGTTCTTGATACTATCGAGGATATGCTCAATGTCTCCAAAGAAATCCTGATTAGAGACATTGTCAACAGCCTCTTGGACAATAGGAGTATCAAAATCAACAAAATCATCAATGATGTCACAAGGAACATCCTCACAAGCATCCAACCAGTACGATGAACCATTAACTCCATTACCCGAAACCCTAGTCTCATCATCCATGGTTAAAACAAATCACTATAAAAAAAAAACACACAACTTCCCACTAGAACAAACAGAACAACACTCACTTCAAAATCATAAAAAGACGAACTTTACGGGAAGAAAAACCAAAAGGGTATATCACATCTAAACCAGCACAGCAGCAGAACTAATGATAAAATTAAAAAAGAAGACCCAGAAATAAAACAACTTGAAAAGCCAAGGATCTGGATTCGGTGGAGAGAAAAAGAGAGAAAGTGGAGATAGGGAAGATACAGATTAGGGTAGATAGACCGCAGGAAACACGCAAAAGAGAGTCAAGGAGGGGAATTGGTGCAAAAGAGGAAAAACCCCCCCACCAAAACCTTGTGATTCTTAGATTCCACGGTCTATCAACGCCTATTCTGTTCTCTTCTTTTTCTCTTTTGACCCTTCTTCTCTCTGTGTATATATGACCTAATAACACCAGAATCTCTCTACTTTGCCCCTTCGCCTCACTTCTGGGTTTTAGCACTGTTTCAGATTTTGAGGGAATGAGGAAGAAAGCCCCAGAAAAATAAAACTTAAAAAAAAAAAAATCCTTTTTTTTTTTTCTCGTTTTCGGACAAAAACTGAATTAGTTTACACGTGCGAGTTCACTTAAACTCTTCTGTCTGCTCGTTAGGATATCGGTGACGTTCGGGGTTTGACCAGCCAATAATATCTTGCCACGTTGCGCCAAATCTGCCGGGGATCACATACGTGGGGGTTTCGAGAAGGTTAAATCCTCAATTTGGTCTCTGAACTATTATACTAACATCCGATTTGGTCCCTAAACTAATAAAATCTCTGATTTGATCCCTAAACTATTATACGAACCCTCGATTTGGTCCTTACTGTTTACCAATTTACCCCAAATTAATCATTTCGTACAAAAAAAATTAACATGTCTTGTATTTAACGACGAAAAATAATAACCTAATGACAGAACATAGTAACTTAATGGTCATGTATCATATTAATAACGAGATACGTCAGTTATTTTTGTATACAAAGACCAATTTATGGTAAATTGGTAAATAATAGGATCAAATTGGGGATCCATACAATAATTTAGGAATCAAATTAAAAATTTTTTTAGTTTAAGGACCAAATCGAGGTCCATATAATAGTTCAGGGACCAAATTAGATATTTAACCTTTCGAAAATGGGTGGTGGGGTATGGAACATTGGGAGCCGTTGGATTTATTCTCAAAAGGAGATCAAATGGAGGAGAGGGAATTATTCCCAAGATCACGGTGAATAACTTTTATCCTATGAGATCTTGACGGTGGGACCTGCCAATTTGGGGGATTTTGGAATTTTTGATTGGGCCCTGTGGGCCTCGTGTTCTGGCATGATTATGCCATGATTTTTCCCGCATTCATTGAGGACAATGCAGGCCGAGAACAAAAAAACAAAAATATTATGAATTTTGTAAGGGTAATTAATTTCAGAGAAAAAAAAATTTAATGTCAGATTTGTTCATTTACTATAATTTATTTATTTATTTTTATGACAAGATTAATAAAAATATTTTCTCACCGTGGAAAAAATAAAATAAAATCGTGCCAATAACTCATAACTTTTATGTGGTTATAATACTTTAAAAAAAAAAATTGAACCCAACTTGAACCTTGGAAATTTTTTTATTACATAATAAAAAATAATCATTTTTCATTTATTAACTGATATTACTTGTTTTTCATGTAATTTAAATTTAAAATATTTTATTTTATTAATAAATTATTATTAAATTATATAAATTATTAATTTAATTTTAAAAGTTAAGGTATGTTATATCAATT